TCATCATCTGGTGGGTGACACACACGTGGGGATTGGGGTGTGCTCAGCCCAGCCCAGGCAGACACTTGTCCCCACCAAACCCGCCAAAGGTTGGGAATTCACACTGTGGATGTGTCAGGAACCTTTGACAACTTTATTCTCTCTCACCTTCCCTTGGGTGGGTTCTTTCCTTCTCCTCCAAACCATACAATTGATTCTCCTGGACTTGTCAGGCCTGGGATCAGGCAGAGCCAGAAGTAACTCAGGTGATGCTGCCTCTTCCCGATGGCCCTCGGGCTAATGTGAGGCTGGGAACTTCAGAGCTGCAGAAGGGAGTGTTTGAGCCCAGCCCCTCGTTTTCCTTAATTACTGCGTTATCAGCACCCTGGCAGTGCAGGAGAAGTATGTGCAATCTCAGGACAAAGCTGTGGAAGAGGAGGTGATGGATCTGTGACACACCCTTCCCCGGTTCCTCTGCTTTGACACCTCTCCTTTTCCTACCCGAGCTTCAGCTGTGACTCAGAGCAACTGGAAGCCTTTCCAGGCAGAGTCTGGACCCTCTCTGGGTGGGTTTGACCTCCCGAGCTTCAGGCCTGCTGCCCAGAGCAGGGCTTTGGCAGAAGGGAGGTGGCTGAGGGTCTTCTCCTAGGAACAGAGAGATTGAGCCAGGGAAGGCAGGGAGAACAAGGAAAAGAAGCGAAATAAGATCTCCTCCATCATGACCAAGACAGATCCAGAGAAAGAAAAATCAGCTGGAGCTGCCTGCTGTGCAGTGAGAGTGGAGGCAGCAGTGCAGGCTGTGCTGCAGGAGCAGCGTGCACGGGCCCCATGCTCCCAGCACAATCCAGGCCACGACGCCTCCGCGCCGTCTCAAGGACAGAGAGATGTTTGTTTTTCTTTTTCTTAGAAATAATGATGGACTCTTTCTTAATAAAACGCTCCTCGGTCTCACTTTCATCTTCGAGTTTGCTGAAGCTGAATAAACAAACCCAGGAGTGCTCTGGAGCCCGAGGCCAAAGCGCCGGCGGTGGGAGCGGCGCTGCCAGGACCTGTCCCTGTGCCCTGTCCCCTGTCCCTGTGCCCTGTGCCCTGTCCCTGTGCTCTGTCCCTGTCCCTGTGCCCTGCTGGGAATGCTCAGCCTGGCAGGGCTGGGGGCAGCAGGCAGGGCACTGCTGCTGCTCCTGCCCTGATGCAGGGGCACCACACACAAAGTGCCAGCTCGGCTCCTTTGGGTTAAGAAAGCCCCTGTGTGACTCAGCTCGTGGTTTGCATCTCAGGCCTTTCCCAGGAGCAGCCTTGGGTGTCCTCATCCACCTTCCTTCTTCTGGCCTTGCTTTCTCCATGTCCCAAATCCTGGGGCTTCCCCTCCTGCCTTTGGCATTCCCTCTGGCTCTGCTGCTGCAGCTCCCAGCGCTGGCAGCAGCTCTGAGCCTCGTGTGCTCCCTGCTCTGAGCCCTGCTCCAGGCAGCACTGGGGGGATTGGGAGAGCTGGGGGTGAATTGGGAGGGCTGGAGCATGGATGGGGAGGGCTGGGGGTGACAGGTGGGGTGTCCCCAGCAGGGAGCTCCGGGTGCCTCCCAGCTGCTCCCCACGGGACGGGAGCGGGCGCGACTCCGGTCCCAGCTCTGCAGACTCAGCATCGCCTCTTGCCCAAGGTCTTGCATAAAACACAGCAGGATTTTCTCACAGGATGGTTTGGCCCTTGGCAGAGGGATTGGAGGCTGGATCCTTGGTGGATCTAAATGTGAGCGGGGTCTTGGGCAGCTGGGCACGGAATTAAAATGAATTTTCCCCTCATCTCCCAACTCTGTGGCCAGGATTTGGAGACAAGGAGGAGCTCAGGGAGAGGAGCACACAGACACACAATGCTTGTGCTTCACCCAGACCCCTTCCCAATGAAACTGAGATTTCAGATATCAAAGTCAAATCCCAGCGTGCTGCCAGTGCCTCAGCTCTTCCCAGAGCCCAGGAATTTCCCTGGGTGTTCCTGGCTGGAACCAGCAGCTGCCTTTCAGTGCTGAAGCTCTGGAAGCCAATCTAATCATAACTGAGCTGAAATCCCATCCTCACCCTGGGGCTCGTGGCCTTGTCCTGGTCGTTTTGGTGCTCTGTAGCTGCTGTGAAGGGGTGGGAGACAGGATCATAAAAATATTAATTTTATAGTGGCTTTTCCATGGCTTTGAGAGATTTGGTGGCTTAAAAGGGTATGGTCAGGTCAGGCTGAGTTATGCAAGAGCCATCAAAGCTTTTGTGGCTTTTTGGCTTTTTTATTTGAATGCCCTGGATGTCTGCAGCCTCAGCCTTGGATGGAAACTGCTCAGCTCAGCTCAGGATCCTCTGCTGGGTTCCAGCCAGGAAATGCTCAGGACTCAGAGAGCTTCAGCCCCAAAACTGCAGCGGTTTTGCACCAAGGAGCTTCTCACAGATGAATCAGGGGCTGAACCAGGACCCACAGCCTGGAGGGGACAATTCTGCTCCTGCCCAGGGTGACCTGGAAAGGCTGAGCAGGAGGCAGGGAGGGCTGGAGCCCCCGGTGTGCAATGCAGGGTGAAAGGCAGCCTGCCCCTGCACCCCACACTCCCCAGGCTGGGAGGGGACACGGCCAGGCTCCGGGGCCCAGGGAGGTGACACCTTGGCTGCTGTCACTGCCTTGAGCAATCGGCGGGGCCAAGGGCCAGGATGAGTCACCCCAACCCGGGCACATCCCTGGGAGGGGGCCGGGTGTTCTGCCAGGCTGGTCCTGCTGAGCCCCCCTGACCTGGGCTGGACCTGCTGAGCCCCCCTGACCTGGGCTGGTCCTGAGGGTGGCCTTTTGGGGGGGCTGGTCCTGCTGAGCCCCCCTGACCTGAGCTCCTGCTGAGCCCACCCTGACCTGAGCTGGTCCTGAGGGTGGCCTTTTGGGGATGGAGGGGTTTGAGCACCAGTCACAGCCACGGCACTGGGCTTTCCTGGGTCCCCCCCGTGTTCCAGCCCTGATTTCCAGCTCCATCACGGAGCTCCTGCTCAAAAGCCGAGTTTCCCCATCAAGTGGCACTGTCTAATGGGGATAAAAAACCTCTCCAAAAAGAGCAGGCACTGGTGCCAGGCTGGCAGGAGGCTGCCCCGAGGCCAGGGGTGATGGACACCCCATGTCTGGGTGCCCAGACTGGTGGTGCCCCAGCAGGAGCCAGCCAGCCCCAGCCCTGGGCACAAAGCCCTGGGGGGAGGCTGGGAGAGCTGGTGACAAGGACAGGCGGGGCCGTGGCTCCTGCAGCTCCCACACAGGACGGGCAGAGCCTTTTGCAGGCAGCAGAACGTCCCTGGTCCCCCTCCCAGACCTGTTTTGGTGGCCTTTTGCCCATGGCCATCAGCCCCTGTGGCAGGGCCCTGCTGGGGGAGTGACTGGGAGGTGGGGACACTCCTTGGTCCTGGGCGCCCAGTCCCTCTGCTCTGAGGGTGTTTAAGACACTAAAACAGATCTATTTGAGAGGTTTTCTGGATGCCCCTCCAGATGGGAATGCCAAGAGCATTCCACAGCCACTGGATAAGGACCAGGCTGGGGATCCAGGTCCCCACGTCCCCCTGGTCCTTCCCCCTGGGTCCCCCCATCCAGTGTGAAGCAGGGGGACACAAGGACCCCAGAGAACTCCCCAGCAGCACAACGCTCTGGCAGGAGTGTCCTGGGGATCCAGGGCTCCTCCTTCCCAGCCTGGAAAAGCTGCCGGACCGGCTGGGAGCGGGGAGCTCCATCCTCCCACACGGCCCAGCCACGCCGCACTTTGGGGAGCTGCTGAAATCAGTTAACTCCTGGGGAGCCAGGGGGAACCCACAGCCCCAGGGCTGGACAGACACCCCCAGTTACCCCTTCCTGGGCAGCAGCGCTGCCTGCTCAGCCCCGCCGCTGCCCAGTCTAACCAGTCCGGGTGTCCCCAGGCCGTGGGGTCAGGGCCAGCCCCAGCCCTCAGCTCGTTTTTCCCGTCGCTGCCCCGCTCTGGCTAATTACAGGTCTGGGGCTGTTCCCAGGCTGGCAGCGCCTGGGGCCAGGTGGAGGCCAAGCTTTGGGGTCCCCAGGAGCAGCCCTGACACCCCTGGGGACCCCAGGGCTGTGAGATGGGGCCAGGCAGGGCCAGGGGGCTCACGGGGTGGGGGGTCACCCCAATGCTGGGATCTGCTCCAGTGTCCATCCAGCTGCTGCTCTGTGCACACCCAGGCCAGCCCCTCGCTCCCCGGGCACCCCAAAACTCCTGCACGCACCAAGGGGGTCACGTCCCTGCCCGTGCCCCATTCCCCAGAGCCCAGGGGGTCCCGGCCCTGCACGGGCTGGGGTTTGGCCACGCCAGGGCCCCCCTGTCCCCCTGCAGCCCCTCCTGGGGCACGGCGCTTTCCTCCCCATCAAAGGCTGGCTCCTGCCCGGCCCTGCTGCTCTGCTGAGCTCCCAGCCCCGGGTGCCGTGACTCTTTAATTGTAATTATTGTTCGTGTTGAAACGCGCCGGTGGGGGGAAGGGGGAGGGAGCTGCGCCCTCCGTGGCCCCGTGCCAGGGCAGAAGTGCTGAGCTTTCACCTGTCCCAGCGCGTCGGGGCTCTGGCAGGGATGTCCCCACCCCTGCCAGCCCAGGCTGCCCCTGTGTCGCTGCTCTTGTGGGTTTTCCTCCTTGGACCCCCACACAGGGGGGTCACCGGCAGGTTTTGGGGAACTCTGGGTTTGTTCAAGGGCTTGGGTCGGGGACTGGGGGACCTTTGAGCGCCTCGTGGAGCAGCCAGCCCTGCGTGGGGCTGCCAACACCCCCGTGCCAGGCACACACAGACCCCCCAGCCCTTCCACGGGCCACAGCTCAGCCCAAGACCCTTTTTGGGGCTGGGGGCACCGAGAGCAGCCAGTGCTGGGGGGCCCCCACCCCGGGGAGGGGGCGAGGTGAGCACCCGGAGCTGCCCAGACATGTGTGCAGGGAGAGACGAGGCAGACGAGAGCAGAGGTGCAGGAGAAGGTTTATTGGAGCACAGAGGCAACACGAGACCCCCTCCCAAAATGGGGGGGCTGCCCAGACCCCCCCTCACCCCGGCCCAGCCCCTCACCTCCTCCTGTTGCTTCTCCAGCCCTCTGGGACAGGGGGTTTGGAGCTGGCACAGGCCAGACTGGACACCCCCCACAAAAAAATGTTAAATATTGGGGGCTGGCAGCTCTCCGGGACAGAGACACCCCCTCTCCCTCTTTTCCCCCTCCCCAAAGCAGAGGATGGGGGAGAGGGAGGGAAGGGCCCTTCCAAAACCACCCCCACTCCCGGTATCCAGGCTGGGGGGGGAAGCTGAGACTCCTGCCCCCAAAACCAACCAAAAAAAAAATTAAAAAAAAAAAAAAACAACAACCAAAAAAAAAAAACCACGAAGAGATGCCGAAGGGTCTGGAGCGGGGCGGGTGGGGCCGGCCCCCGGCTCGGCAGGGCACGCTCAGTTCTTGGGCTCTTCGCCAGCCTCGCCGCCGTCTTCCCCGGCGCACTCGGCTGTCCATAGCGTCAGGTTGTCCCTGAGCAGCTGCATGATGAGGGTGCTGTCCTTGTAGGAGTCTTCGCTGAGCGTGTGCAGGTCGCCCATGGCCTCGTCGAAGGTGGTCTTGGCCAGCGAGATGGCCTGCTCGGGGGCGTTGGCGATCTCGTAGTGGAACACCGAGAAGTTGAGCGCCAGCCCCAGGCGGATGGGGTTCGTGGGCTGCATCTCCTTTTTGCTGATGTCCATGGCCTCTTGGTAGGCCTCCTGGGCCTTCTCTATCGTCGACAGCCGGTCGTCCCCGCTGGCCACCTCGGCCAGGTATCGGAAGTAGTCACCCTTCATCTTCAGGTAGAAGACCTTGCTCTCGGTGTCGCTGTCCTTCTTGATGAGATACTTGTCCAGCAAGCCCAGCACGTTGTTGCAGACGGCGTTGAGCTCCTGCTCCACCTTCTCCCGGTACTCGTTCACCACCTGCGCCTTGTCGTCGCCCTCCTCGGTCTTGTGCTCGATGCTGGAGATGACCCTCCAGGCCGAGCGCTGGCAGCCCACCACGTTCTTGTAGGCCACCGAGAGCAGGTTGCGCTCCTCGTTGGACAGCTCGTCGCCGTGCTCCACCACGGCCTTCATGAAGTCTGCCATGTCCTCGTAGCGCTCAGCCTGCTCGGCCAGCTTGGCCTTCTGCACTTGGTGGTTTCTTGCCATGGCTGGGTCGCGGGCGCTTGGGCGAGCAGCGGGGCCGGGAGCCGTCGGAGCCTCTGCCGAGCGCTGCCGCCGGGATTCGCTTTTGGCTGCGCGTCGGAGCCTCGAGCGAGAGCGGGAGGAGCCAGCCAGCTCCAAGGAGTGTCCTCCTCCTCCTCCTCCTCTGCTTCCTCCCCGCCGAGCGCGGCCTTAAAAGGAAAATCGCGGTGAATCATCGCCCGCGGGCGGCGGGCGCTGGGGAGGGGGCGAGGGGGGCGGCCAACGCCCTGCCCTCCCCGTGGGTGCGGCACCCCTGGGTGCCCCGGGGCTCTCCCCAGAGCCGCCGCCCGCCCCGGCACCGGGAAACGCCCTTCGCCCTGCTGAGAGCGCCGGGGAGGGCGGCGGGGGCTGCGCTGTCCTTTGGGGGGGACGGGGACACGATGGGCTCGTCCCCACCCCGGAGAAATGGGCCACGGGGTGTGGCCGCTCGTAAAAAGGGGTGTCCCCCCCCCCGAAAAAGTCATATCGCTGTCGATTTGAGTACGGGCGGTAATTGCGAGCGCTTGACGGGCGGGTGTTTATTCCCACAGGTGGGGACAGCCAGGCAGGGGCTCAGGGAGGGAGCGTCCCAAAAAGCGGGGCACAGTCAGCCCTCGCCTTTGAGGGGACCCCTCGAAGTGGCCGTGGTGGGAGCAGCGAGGGGAGCCCCCATCCCCATCCCATCCCCATCCCATCCCCATCCCATCCCATCCCATCCCATCCCATCCCATCCCATCCCCATCCCGGGGCTGCCTCTCCGGTGCCCTCCCGTCTCTGCCGCCGTGCCTCGGGAGTTTCACGCTCGCTGCCGGTCGCTCCGGCTCGCTGGCCGTGGGCCGCGGTGCCGATAGCGATCTGAGCCGAGTTTCACTCCGAGCTTGTTGCCACACGCCGGGCGCTGGCGCGGCCCGGCCCGGCCCGGCCTTATCTCCGTGCGGGAGCGTGCGGGAAGGGCAGGGCGGGGCGGGCGGCTCCGGGCCAAGGCCAAAAGGGGCTTGTGATTCTTTCCGTGAGCCCGGCTTTGGTCCTGCCTGCCGACACCCAGAGCCCCCCGAGCCTCGGACCCTGCTGGGGTGGAGGAGGCAGGGAAGCCGTGGGGATGCTTCTCCCAACCACTTCAAGCCCAGGAAAACACCCCCCCCCAGCCTTCACATCACCCCCTCTGCACGCTGGAATTCAGGAGAAAGGGATTCAGGGCCCTTCACCCCTTCCTGGCTGAGCCCCTGGCACACGCTGGGGGTTGGGGTGCCCAGGGTGCCATCGAGGGGCTCCCGTGGCAGCAGCGTGAGGGGGACCAGCCCCACCAAGGTCCCCACAGCCCCTCCATGGTGAGCTGATCCCGAGGGAGCAAGGAACAGGTGAGCAGGAGACCATGGCCTGTCCTCCACCCTCCGCCCAGGACACAAGGCAGACCCACAGAGACCCTCCAAGAACTTCCATCGGGCACAAAACCTGCCCCCCACAGCAGGACTGGGGCCAAAGGGGCACCCCAACCTACCCAACCTGCCAAAATCCACCTCCTTGCCTTGGAAAACCCCCGGCAGGGATCCCCGGGTGGGTTAATCTGAGCTCACACTCCCCCGGGGCAGCAAAGCCATCATTTGGGTTTGGGGTCCCCAGGGCTGGTGAAGGACTCACAGCCTGCCCAGCACCATCCTGCCCCCCCTGCACTTGGGATCCCCCTTGCCCAGCAGGGACACGAGTGGGGCAGGGATGGCTCAGCCTCGGGCTGGTGTCTGGGCCCCCCCAAGCTGCTGCTGAATTTTGGCTGAGAGGAGGCTCAGAGAGGCTCTGCTGCCCTGGTGCCACAGCCAGCAGCGGTGGGTGAAGGGGAGCCCAGCAGATCCCAGCACCACCACCCCAGAGAGCACCCCTGGGTGCCCCAGAGGCCGAAGGGCAGCGCCAGAAGGGGCGTCCCAAACCATTCTGGGGTTCTGCGATCACCCGGGGAGGGGGCAGCCAGTTAAGCCCAGCCCTGGGACGCTGTTCTCCAGCCCCTGAGCCGAGGGCAGGCGTGGGCTGGGCTGGCACAGGCAGAGGATGCTCGTGGCTGTTCCCAGGGCACCGGGACGATGCTCAGAGCCCGTCTAGCCACCCTGCCCAGCCCTGCTGCTCCCCCTGGCTGTGGGGACGCCGCCAGCTCCCAGAACATCAGCGGACGACGCATTTTTCCAAGGGGTGCTCACAGCGCCGCGGGCGCTGCGGGCACTGCCCACTGCTCCTTCCCAGCCTGCAGGAGGGGGCAGAGCCTGGATGGCCGAGACCTGCCCCAGACTGTGCCACAGCCCCGTTTGGGAAGCTGCTGGCTGCCACCCCCAGGGCTGATGGCACAGCACTGCCAGCCCTCGGTGGCTTCCCTGGGCTCTGCTCGGGCCTGCCCAGGCAGGAGCCGTTCACCCGCGGAGCAGAGCCAGACTCCAGAGTACACGAAATAGGAGAAACTTTCATTTTGTTACAAAAGTAAAAGGCATAAACAGACGGTGGATCCTACAGGGCTGGGACAGGCCTGGCTGCTCCACTCGGCTCTCAGCCCAGCGAGGCTGCTCGAGGTGCTGGAGCCCTTTCCCTAAAGCCAGAGCCGCGCTGGGATGAGGCTGGCAGGGGGAGCCGGCCCTGCAGGGATGAACTGACCAGGTACAAATTCCCATCGGGAAAGTCCTCTGGCACACGGACACGGCTTGAGGGGGGTTTGGGGCTGGTGCCCCTGGCTTGGCTCTGGAGAGATCCTGCTCCTTCCAAAATCCCGTTGGGACACCAACCACGACATTCCAGCATCGGGGATGGACAGAAGGACACGGTCCCCGAGTGCCCCCCGGCGGCCCCGGGCACGGCAGGGATGGGATGTGCCTGTGGTTATTTATCTCTCCTGCTCGGGGCTGTATGGCTTTGGGCTCCGAGCCCCCTGCTCGGGGCAGGGAGGGACCGAGGGAGGCGCAGCCCTGGCGAGCAGAGGCACTCGAGGTGGTCGTGGCTGTGGCTGCCCCACGAGAGGCTCCGGCTGCTGCGGCGCTGGATCCGCCCAGAGAGAGGGAGAGGAGAGGGGAGGAAGATAAAAGGAGAGTTAGTGCCAGAAACAGAGGAGCTGAGGAGCTGTGGGAGCAGGGTGGGCATCCAGGCTGGCTGGCAGAGTGGCACCGGGCTGGGCAGAGCGAGGAGGGGGCTCCATCCCTGCCCCGAGGCTCAGGAGCTCGTGGGGGGCTGCAGGGAGGGGACAGGCCCGCAGGTGGCACTCCCAGCCCAAGGTGCCCTGAAGGAACTCACCTTGCTCACAGGAGGAGGAACCGGGTGTTGCAGAGAGGAAAACGGGCAGAGGGGCCAGAGGGGTCACCTGAGCCCCAGAACGGGTCAGGGATGGGGGTCCAGACCTGCCCCAGGGGCCACAGCTCCCTCCAAACACCAAACCTCTCCCTCTCCACCCCGGCCACACGTGTCACAGTGTCCCACAATGTCCCCATGCAGCCCGGGTGGCTCCAGTCCAGCACAAAGCCAGGAAAACCAAACCCTCCTCTTCTGGCAAAGCCTTCAGGAGCGCCCTCAGCCCCAGAGCCCTGGCACCATGCCCCCGTGGCAGTGGGGTTCTGGTGGGATGGATGGATGGATGGATGGATGGATGGATGGATGGATGGATGGATGGATGGATGGATGGATGGATGGATGGGGCAGGGGGTGCCAGCAGAGCTGGGTTTGAGGCAGAGCTGCCATGCAGAGAGGGGTGGCTGCAGAGGTGAAGGTGAAGGGACACTTTCTTACCAGCCAACCCTCAGAAATCAGGGCAAACGTCCGAGGAGGGGCAAGTCCCGTCAGGCTGTGCAGGAAATGGCAAAGTCCTGGCAGGCATCCTCCTGGGGGAGACACCAGAGGTTATGCACCTCACACCTGCCACGGGGCCAGAGGGGCTGGCACAGATGGGGCACAGAGCCCAGCTGGGGAAGGGACACTGAGGTGACAACAGCAGGGAGGGGATGAGCCCCTGCCCGGCCTGGAAATGTGGGACAGAAATTCCCTTTGCTCCAGCAGGAGTCACAGCAGCGTCAGCTGCTGCTCATCCCTCCCAGCAGGAGCTTCCAGGAGTTTCCAGGTGAGGCCTGAGCCTAACAGAGCCCAGCTGGCACCTGGGAGATGCCAAACCCTGGGACACACCTGCCCCCTTCTGTCCTCAAGGAGGAAAATAATCATCCAAGCAGTTAACTCTTTCAAAATAGAATTTTATTGAGTAACAAAGGAAACTGGTTTAAATAAAAACAGGAAGGAGTCTGGCCCCTGGTAACCCCCTCCTCACTGCTCCTCTCCATCCCCCTGGCACAGGCACTTGCAGAGTACAAAGCACGATACTGGTGAGCTCAGGGGGGCTGGGCTGCCCCCCAAAATGTGCTGCCCCTGCCCCAGGTTGAAACTGGTCTGTCTGATCCAAGGAAACCTGCCAGGCAGCTCGGCACTGTGAGCCTCTGCCCTGGTGCCAACGTGCACCGTGCTCCCTGCACAGGACAGAAAATGTTCTACGTAGAAAAAAGTCCTAAAATTGTGCAAAAATATCCAGCAGCTTTGAAGAACACGATTCAAGTATTGCTACGAGGTTTGTGCTCTGCCTTCACCCCAGGGACACAGAGCTGGCTGCCTGGGTGCAGAGGGATGCTCATGGATGAGAGCTGGAATGGCTCCCAGGGCACTGGGGACAGCCCTGGGGACACTCTGCTGCTCAGAAACCCAAACCAAGAGCACACCCCGAGCACCCCTCACTGCTTCCCAGCTGGGAATGGTGTGACCCTCAGGAATTCACACTCTTCTGCTGCCTTTTGGTCTCCCACAGACAGGACACAATCCTGGGAAGCTCCAGCTCCCAAACCTGACCCCTGCAGCCTTGTGACCTGCATCTCCTGAGAGTCACAGAGCACAGAGTTTCTTCTTCCCTGCTAGATGAGGGTCCCCTGACTCGTGTCCTTGCTGCAAAACGTGTCTGACCAACTGGCAGGGCCAAAACACAGCCTCAGCCAGGAAACAGGATCAGCAGGGGTCACCCAGGACATCCTGAGTCCTCCCAGCTCACCCAGGCACAGCAGCTTCTGCAGAGGGGAAGCAGCTGCAGCCTGAGAGCCACAACAGCCCTGCCAGGTGGCCCAGGGGAACAGGGTGTGTTGATGGAGCTAGCAGGGACACCAGGGAGGTGACACCTCCTCCAGGCCCAGCCCCAAGTGGGAATCATCTGCCAGTGCCCAGCTCCCAGCCTTGGCCCATCTCATTCCCAGCAGGAATCACAGCAATGCCCTGGAGCTCAGGGGTCTGGGGACTCCTGGGGACCCCCTGCTTCCAGCACGAGTCCAAGGGTCCCACAAGCTGTTGGGCTCTGTCAGGCAACACCCCTGACAGGCCACATCACAGTGAAACAAATAAACAAAAAAGTAATAAATAAATGTAAAAAAAAGAAGGCAACGCATGGCTCGAGTCTTTGGCAGCTCAGGGCTGTCCCTCCTGAGGCCAGGGGTGTCACAGGGGAAGGTACTGGCTGGAGCAAGGTGCAGGCACAGCAGGCACTGGGAACATCACAGCACTGCTAGGGAATGCCTCCTACCATGCTGCTGTCAGTTTTGGCTCCAAGGGAAGGGATTTCACTCTTGGGACTGGACGGGGTCCCCGTATCTGGCTGGATAAATCCTCTTCTGTCTATCAAGCTGGAAAACAGGAAGGGAAGAGCAGTTCAGGGAACAAAGGCTGAAGCTGGGAGCTCACAGGCCACAGGGAAGGCTCCTCTCCCAGGAGCTGCAGAGCACAGCACAGGCAGGATGCTGGAGCAGAGGATTCCTGCCCAGCACATGAGCCACAGACCCCTCCCATGAGCCACAGACCCCTCTCATGAGCCACAGACCCCTCCCATGAGCCACAGACCCCCCTCCCATGAGCCACAGGCCCCTCCCATGAGCCACAGACCCCTCCAATGAGCCAGACCCCCCTCCCATGAGCCACAGACCCCTTCCATGAGCCACAGACCCCCCCCTCCCTTGAGCCACAGACCCCCCCTCACTTGAGCCACAGACCCCTCCTCACTTGAGCCACAGACCCCTCCCTTGAGCCTTTCTCTGCAGAGTGGGAATTTCCTGCCCCCATGAGAGCAGGTGTTTGTGCTGCCATGGCCCGTGACAGATCTGTCCTTGCCAAGGCTCCTCTCCCACAGCAGGAGGCAGTTCCCAGTGCCTGCAGGCCAGGGGCTCTCACCTGGGATGGAATGGTCCACACAGCACTGCACAGCAGTTTGTGAGGATGCTTTTATGGCTGTAGGGATTGGCAAACTCTGAGCCCCTCTTGTTGGACCAGGAGCCTTTGATCTGAAAGGGATGGACAGAGATTAGGAGGGGAAGGATGGAGAGCAGACAGTGGCACAACAGTGGATCCTTGCAGGGGTGGAAGGCTTGTCCCAGAGCAGGGGGAGGACACCTGCAGGCACAAGCAGCCACGTGCTGCCTCTGCTGAGGTGCAGCCCTGCAGCTGCAGAGCTCCCAAGCTGTGCCCTCCCCGTGGGAGGAGGACAATGTCACTGTCACTGCTGTCACCCTGTCCTCCTGCTGCCCTCGTGGTCTCTCTCTGTCCCTGGCACCCATCAGAGCAGGCTCCTGTCCCTCAGGCTGCACAAACAGCGAGGGGATTCCCAGCCCAGGGCTCCTCCTGCCCCAGCTCTGCTCCGAAACTGGCTGTGGCACAGGGGGTGGGCAGCTGCCACAGCTGCCTCAGGCTGCACGCAGCCAGCACCAGCACCTCCACCAGCACATTTCCTCCTCCTGTTCAACTGCCTCTCCCCAGCTGCAGCACGAGGCTGGGGTACAGACTGTGAGCTTCACTCACACAGCCCTGAGCAGCTCTGCCACACCTCTGAGTGTAAGGTGGAGGAGAAAAGGGAAAAAGCAAAACCAAAAGGGATGCAAACACACTTTCTGCAGTGCTGGGAGCTCCCAGCAAGGATTACAGGTACTTCTGGCCAGAAGGGCGAATTTTGATTCTGAGGATCAGACAGATCCTGCTTTTCCATACAATCTGCCCCACTCAGGGCACTCATTTGGTCCTTGGAGCCTGTGCACACCCCAGATTTAAAGGTAAATCTCATCAGATGTCTGTACATTGTTTGCTAATTAGAGATGAGGAACTGCCAGACACAAAGGGACTGGCCCAGGGTCTCAGAGGAAACCCGTGGTTACACAGGATGCTGAATTCAGATCACTAAGCTCACACCCAAATACTCCCCTGGGCCAGCCTTCCTTTTTTAATCTCACAACTCCTAATTTTAAGCGAGGCCACAAACAGACTGGAAAAAACCCTCACGTGATGGTTCTAACTCAGCCACCTGAAAGTGCAGCCGTGGGCACAGGCTGGGTGCTCTGCACTGGGCTATCACAGGCAGTGAAACACTGCACTGAGGCAGCCAAGAATGCCCTGAAAACTGCTCAGGAGGGGTGGTGGGCAGCCTGGCAGCAGGACAAGCATGCAGGTACTTACATCTTCGTTTGTCGTCAGGTTGGAGGCGACTAAGTAAGTGTGAAAACCTGAGAGGCCCAAAATGGACCAGACTGAGAAAAAACAAATCACCAGCTCCAGCACAGTGAAACGGAAGTCAAGGAAGTTTCAGTGAACAAAATCATCCCACAAGGAGAGGCAGAGGACTGTCTGGGGAGGTTTGGGCAAGCTTCCCATTCCCCCAGCTGGTTTGCAGGGATCCACCAAGGCACAGCCTGCTCCAGCTCGTCCCTTTCCACCAGAACCTGCAAACTGGGAAACAACCCACCCCCAGTCCCAGGCAGCCAGGGGACTAAATTAATTTGGGGAAGGGATGCCAGGGTGACCTGCAAAGAGATCCTGGCCCCTCTCTGTCAGTGATTAGTGGTGCTGGGCACCCTGAGCAGCTGCTGCCAGCAGAAGGATATCTCGCAGGGGTTGTCTTCAGAGTGGCCAGGAACCCATCCCTCTGAGAGCCTGCAAAGCAAAAGAGAACAAGGAATGGCAGCCCAGCCCCTCCAGCCAGAACTCCAGCCCCAACTCCAGCCCTGTGAGCCCTGTGGATCTGTCTGTCTGCCTGAGGAACACCTGCAGTCTGGGATGCTGCAGGAATGTCAGTGCAGGCTCCAGGAGATTTGGGGCTGGTGGGAAGTCACCTTCCCTGCCAGGGTAGGGTGGATGCACCAGCAGCTCACCTGCTCTGGGGGAGCAAATCCCAGCCCCCAAAGCCCCTGTGCAGCGAGGTGAAGGCAGAGCTGAGGTGAAGGCAGAGCTGAGGTGAAGGCAGAGCTGTGGGACCCTTTAATCCCTGGTGTAACCCCACAGACCCTTCCCCTGCTGGGTCCCAGGGGGGCAGGGACCCAGAGCTGAGCTGGAGCAGCACAGCCCCCGGGCAGGACTTACGCAGGGTGAGGTGGGTGACGACGCAGGCGAAGATGAAGGCGGTGAGGAAGGACAGGGACAGGATGAAGGCGTAGAAGTAGCGGTAGTTGCGCTTGCCCACGCAGTTGCCCACCCAGGGGCAGTGGTGATCGAATCTCTCTGCAAGAAAGGCTCGAGGTGAGGTGTGCCACCTCACAGCCAGCATGGAGCAGACTGTGCTCAGCCCCCCAAAGCCATCGGCCACGAGGGCAGACCCTCTGCAGCAGTGCAGAAGCACGAAGTTTCCATGGTGCCTGGCTGCACACAGTGAGGAGCCTGCAGCAAACCTTGTGTTTGTGGAGGTCTGCACTGCATTTTACAGAACCCTCCTTCCAAAGCCAGGGAAAACAGAGCCATGGAGTTTTGGATATGCTGCCCCTTGTCCTGAGCCACTGCTCTAGTGCTGCTTTCAATTTAAATGAAAAGGAGATAGACCATGCAGTATCCTGTTTTATAATCCTTCAGGAGAAGCAAAAAGCAATCTGTCCAGGAACACAAGTGACAGGATCAGTGACAGGACCAGAGGGAATGGCTGGAGCTGTGTCAGGGCAGGGCCAGGCTGGATATTGGGACAAGATTCTTCCCCCAGAGGGTGCTGGCACTGCCCAGGCTCCCCAGGGAATGCTCCCAGCCCTGAGGCTGCCAGAGCTCCGGAAGAGTTTGGACAGCGCTGCCAGGGATGCCCAGGGTGGGGTTGCTGGGGGGGCTGTGCAGGGCCAGGGGCTGGATCAGTGATCCCTGTGGGTCCCTCCCAGCTGAGGACAGCGTGGTCATTGGCCAGCTCTCCCCCAGCCCTGCTCACCCACGCAGTTGTCGCAGACGCTGCAGTGCGAGGTGCGCGGCGGCCGGAACATCTTGCAGGTGTAGCAGTACTTGAGCTTCACCACATACTTGTTGATCACCACCTCCATGGTGCGGGCTGGGGGACGGTACGTGGAGCTGCCCATGCTGTCTGCAGGGACAAGGAGGGACACTCACACCCCTGTGCCACCCCCAGCTGCGGCAGGGGCTGGCACACGCTTTAACAGAACACAGGACAGGATTTGTAGCAGGGTAGGCAGCCAAGAGCTCCAGTCAGCTCCTCACGTTATTTATGGCCTGTCTTTGTTCAGTGGTGATGCTGCTGGGATGCCAAGAGGAAGCAGTGAGTGCCCAGTGCTGTGGAGTGTCAAGTAATTCACAAACAGTGAGTGTGAAGCAGCAGCCCAGGAACACCAGCTCATGTCTGGGTGTCCAGCAGGTCACAGCAGGCAGCCTGGCTGTGAAGGCACGTGTGGCTCTGCCACAGGAGCATCCCTGCCACTGCCAGCACACAGCCTGTCACCCCACAGCAGCAGCACTCCCAGCCTGCAGGGACTCGCCTCCATCACTGTGGGGAAGGACAGCAGCAGGTCTCAGGTGCTCCAGTAGATTTCCTGGAATTTGACATGTTTGTGTTCGTAGCACAAGAGGATTCTTCCTCCTCCAGGTTTAAACTGAGGGTTTTTAGAGGCACTGCAAGTTACATCTCTGTGTGCTGGCACTCCCTTATTCCCTGGGGGCTGGAGACTGTTCCTGTACGTAGCAATAGCTGGAAACCCCTGGTACCATGTTTGCAATTTTGGGGGTTATTCCTTTTAGTCACTCCCAAAAAAGTACCTTTCCAACTGTGAGGAATTCTTTGAAAATAGTGATGCTACAGTGAGCATGTTAAGAGGATAGTAAGTGGATTATATTAGCAGTAACAGCTGGCACATCAGGCAGCATCTGCAGCCAGATTACTGCTTTAGGCCCTTATAAATAGAAACATGGATCACCACTCTGGGGATATTTAAAAACCATTTTTAAAGGCAGATGTAGAATTACTGCCTTGCATCTGTCTTCAGCAGGACAGATTTAAGCTGTCTCACGTCAGCTTTGCTAAAGCATCTGCTCCAACCTGTCACATCAACGAGGTCCTTGGCTCCTGGATGCAAACACCTCCTTGGCTGTCCCCAAACCAGCGTGACAGAGCAGTTTTTAGAAGAGGACAAACATCAGCCCACTCTAAAGAACAACTTGCAGCACAGCAGGCTCAATGGCACTATCAAAAAGCATTAATTATCCTTCAACTCTGCTGCCTGGGAAAGCACTGGGACTGAACAGGAGCAAAAAGCACCTGAGCTGCTCTGCAGATCCTCTCTGAGGCCCTGCCTGCTGTGCCAGAGGAGCTTGTTGTACCTCTCATCACGACTGGTAAACACTCTCAAGCCTCACAATCTGATACTCTCGATTTTTCTCCCCCCCTGGACAAACCTAAAGGAGCCAAGACCCAAAGAAGGGGCCTCACTGAGCCTGGAAGCTGCACAGACACAGAGCTAAAACCAGGAGAGGGACCAGAGCTCTCACCAATTCGCTTCTCCAGGTCTGCAGCCTCGCTGGGGGTGGCTCTGGGCAGGATTCCTGGGTCCCTGAAGCTTGTCTGGAGCAGGCAGCTGATGACAAAGAAGAAGAGGACGGCAGCAATGATGGGGATGGCCAGGGTCAGGTGACTGGCAAGGAAGGGGCAGCTGTTGAAAGATAAATAAAATGGAATTGTTATCAATCATTGCACAGACCCGCTGGCAGCTGGGACACCACACCACGACCTGCCACGGGGTAATGGGCTCAGCAGCCAAGCTGGGGCTGTTCCTGCAGAATGGGACTGCTGTGATCACACCCCACGCCAGGGCAGCTCCGTTACCCACGGGCAGCAGCTGAGGACAGCAGAGGACACAGCCCTGCACACACAGAGCCACTGCCCCCTCCTGCAGAGGGGATCAGCACCCAGAGCCAGCACAGGATGGGCTGCCCCAGCCCTGAGGGCTGCAGGCAGTGCTCAGGCACTGCAGCACTCGGAGAGGATTAAGCAACTTTTGTTTCACCTCCCCAGCTCAGCTGTCCAGAACAAAGCACCCACCAAGCAACAAAACCCCTTCAGTCCAAGCCTGAGCCCCTCAGTCATTGACAGAAAGGTCTGTGAAAGGAGAGATGTGAGCTTGTCAGTCCTTTCCTGAGAGAACCTCCAGAGCCCACCATGCCCCACTAGGGAACAAGAAATCACAGGAATGACAGAAACCCCAAAAAGGTTTGGTTTGGACCTTAAAGATCATCCCACCCCTGCCATGGGAAGAGCACCTTCCACTGTCCCAGGCTGCTCCAAGCCCTGTCCAGCCTGGCCTTGGACACTTCCAGGGATGGGGCAGACCCAGCTGCTCTGGGCACCCTGTGCCAGGTTCTCCCACAGAAACCACGAAATACACAGACAAGATGCATTTGCTGTACACCCGGCAAACTGGAGCCTGTGCAACAGAGGCATCTTGCTAAAATAACAACTTGGGAGAGCCCCAGGGCATCTTCAAGCACGAGAGAGTGACTCGGCAAGAAGGGAGGCAGAGCAGATGTCCCGTGTGCTCTGCCTGGCCACACAAAGCCTGCACTGTGCCGAGCTGAGCAGCCCCCGACCTGGCAGAGAGCTGCCAGGGCACGGATGGTGCTGAGAAAGGGGTTTTTCCATCGGGATGCCGTGCCTGCTTCCCGCAGCTGCCTGTCCCTTTCAGCTCATCTGACTTCTCAGAGCCTCTAATCCGATCAAGCACTTTCATCTCGCCACCAGCAGGCTCGGGCAGCTTTTCTCCGAGACTCGCAGGGATAACGCCGTGATCCAAAGGCAGGAGTGGGCCCCTGCTCCAGGGAAAAGCGGCTCCCATCCCTCCCGGGACAGAGAGGGAGGCAGGACAGCAGAACCCTGCAGGTGTCAGGAAGCCAGGGCGCTCCTTCCCCAGCTCCCCAGGGCAGCACAGGGCACACCGGGATGCTCCTGGCTCTCCCCTCCCTCAGGCGGCAGGAGCAGGGAGCTTCCCTGGACCAGCTTCCAAAGGAAAAGGGACTGGGGAGACGCAGCTCCCAATTCCCCAGACTCTGCTGCACAACGGGGGCCGAGCTCCAGTGCCGACCCTCGAGGTGGGACCCCAAAGGGTTTCCACATTTAGAACAAACACTGCTCCTAGATCCCAGTGGTGGACAAAGCCCACGAGCCTTGGGGGCTTTCTGGATGCAATTTTGGGCCAATTCTCTTCTTGGGAGCAAAAGGAGAAACCTGGGGGCTGTATTTAGAGGCCAGGGGGGCATCCTAAACCCCTTCCTGGGGCCAGACTGAGCAAACACGGCGCAGAACGACCCCTTCCCCCATAACCACAGCTGGGCACAGGTGAGGAGGCAGTGATGCCTGCAGAGGGGGTCTGGGGGAAAGGGCTCGGGGGGCAGGCCAGCGGGGATCCCGGGGGAAGGTGACCCGCAGCCCGCCTCCCTCCCAGCCCGGGGCCAGCGAGGGATGCCAGCCAGCCCCAAAGGCAGGCCTGAAGCGGGGGGACAAGCAGCCGCGAGGGGAGGCCCCGCGGCGCGGAGCCCGAGCCCGCCGGGCCCAGACTCACTCGAAGGCGAAGAAGAGGCCGCTGGTGGCCAGGATGAGGCCGAGCGTGAGGGCGAAGACGCCGCTGTGCCGCGCCAGCATGAGGCGGCCGCCGCAGTAGAAGCGGTTGCGGCCCGGGAACACCTCCCACTTCCTGCGGGGCCGCCGCGCCGCTCCGGCCCGCGGGGCAGCGCCCCCTGCCGGCCCCGCCGCCACACCGGCAGCGCAGCGCGCCCGCCCCGGCACCGATCGCGCCCCCGGAACCCGTGACCCCCACCCCGACCCTGCCCCGGCCCGGCGGAGCGGGCTGAGCCGCCTCTCCGGTTACTTTCAGGTGTTTATTGGGGCGGTGCATGTGCCCACGCAGCGCCCGCCACCCCCGCCGTGCCCCCTGCCCAGCCCGGCTCGGAGCCTGGGATCGGGACCGTGGAAAAGGAACCGGAACGGTCTGAACGGCTCAGGGCAGCTGGACCCTCCCGCCGTGCCCACAGCACATCCCAGGGAATGCCCAAATCCATCGCAGCATCCTGCCACCAACCCGCGCCTGCCGTAGGAGATGCAGGAACCCAGGTGCATTCCCCACCCCAGGCAGGGGATGGGGATTTTGGCCGTCAGCAATGCCAGCCAGCGGGGCGGGATGCTGCAGCATCACACCACAGAGAACATCCCGCCCGGGACACGGTAAGGGAGGAGTGACACCTTTGTCACTGCGGCGTCACCACAGCCACCTCAGGATTTCGGAGCGGCGAGTTTCAGTTCTGAGCAGAGCTCCTGCCCCACGGCTGGCCCGTGCCAGCACAGCCCGCTACGTCCACGGGAGGAAGTTGCAGTGCAGGATCAGCCCCAGCAGCCAGTAGCCCAGGAAGAAGCCCAGGATGCTCTTGCTGAGGGGGGTAATCGATCGCCAGTTCAGCAGCAGCCTCACCACGGGGTTGTCCGAGGTCCCCTTCCCACAGGAACTGTGAGATTTACCCGGAACAGGCTCCCCAGAGGTTGGATTGTCAGTCCCTGTGCTCCAGAGTAAAGGTTCATGTTCCTGAAGCAGGTGAGCTGCGAACCAGTACAGGATGGGAGAGGAGGAGCCAAGGAAGCGGGTCAGCACCTGGGGACAGACAACAGGCAGAGCAGAAATCACCCAAACTGCTGTGCTGTCACCACCCCAGCCCCACAAGGAATCCCCCCTGTCCCACCTGCACGTGCATGCAGAAGAACCCGAACACCAGCAGGGCCGTGCTGTGGACCACGTACACGAAGGCAGCAGGGCCACAAAATCCATCTCTTGGCTTTCCCCTCTCGTCACCCTTGCTCCTCTCCAGCCCAAGAGTCAGGCAGTGCCGGGGGTTTGTGCTGACGTAGGTCCAGGCAGCCCATGAGCCCAGAAGGGTGACAGGCAGAGCAAGCAGGAAATTTGGGACCTGTCTGAACTCAAAGTACCTCAGGAAGCCCACGTTCCAGTACGTGTCTTGGATGTAGGAATAGACCAGAGGGAAGCGCTGGGAGCACCAGGGGGGCCTGGCTGCACCCACGCCTGCCACACGATAGCCCTTGTCCCGTGCCAGCTGCAGCAGCGGCTCGGGAACGCTCTGGCCCAGACCCGTGCCAGGCTGGCAGAACCTCAGGTAGGCGTAGTACTGAAACAAGGCAAAAGGCAGGCAAATCCCGGCACACGTCAGCACTGCCGAAGTCACCAGGCCGAGCGCTCGCTTCCACAAGCAGGGCAGCTTGCAGGGGGACGCCGCCGTGCCCTGCAGCTGCAGCGCGAAGCGCCTGCCGCGCGCGTAGAGGAAGAAGCCGGCGTTGAGCAGCCCGTTGGCCCGCGCCCCGGCCGCCAGCCCGAAGAGCAGCCCGCTGAGCCGGCCGTGCCCCTTCTCCAGCTGCCACATGGCGCTGAAGGCCAGCAGGGCGAAGGCGCTCTCCGAGTAGGCCGCGGCCATGAAGACGCCGGCCGGGCTGACGGAGAAGAGCAGCGCAGCCACGAAGGCCTGGCGAGGCCGGCGCAGCACGGCCCGGCCCAGCGCCAGCAGCGCCGCGGCCGCCAGCGCCGACAGCAGCGCGTTCAGCAGCGCGGCCGCCAGCAGCAGCCGGCTGCGGGGCTGCAGCTGCAGCGGCCACGGCAGCAGCGCGGCCAGCAGCCGCAGCGCCAGCGGGAAGAGCGGCAGGAAGGCGCAGTTGTGCTCCAGCAGGTAGCCGCGCTCGGCGATGAAGAGGAAGTGCTCGGCGTCCCAGCGGCCCAGCCCGCCCAGCAGCCGCTCCACCAGCGCGTCCCACGGGCCCCGCGGGCCCGAGCGCGGCGGGGAGAAGGCGTCGGCGGCGTGGTCCGGGATCAGCAGGTTAAACACGGCCTGTAAAACAAGAGAGGGCTGCAGGCTGGCGGAGATGCTCCGGTACCCAGAGCTCCAGCAAGGGGTGAGGGTGGCACCGAGGCCGGAGCCCAAGATGCCCACGAGGCTGTGAAAAGGTGCAGACGCAACCTTTTGGGGTATTTAACGCCCTGGGATCCAGCATGGATCCCTGCAGAACTGGCCAGGGAAAGCTGCTCATGGCTGTGACTGGGCTCTGTGCTGGCTGCCACAGCCAAGCTCTCCCATGCTCAGAGCAGGATGTCTCTGGAAATAAGGCTTGGGAGGAACATACAGGAGGAGATTATTGTTCCTTTTCTGTGAATAAACACACTTTGTGCCAAAGCAGCCTCTTGCAGCAGCCGCGTGAAAACACAACAAGTCACAAGGAAATTAAAGCAATTTTACTTAACAGCAACCTGTAAGTAAAACCCCTGGCTGCAGACGGTCTGTTGGCTCTCCAGAGAGGATGATTTCCCCATCGTGCAGAACCAGCTCATGGATCTCAGGGGTAGTGGGAGCAGCAAAACCCAGCAGAGCCTCCCTGGCCCCCAGACTTGCCTGCAGCAGCAGCGCCAGGGCCCGGCAGCGCAGGGCAAAGCACACGACCTCTCGGAGCTGGGGGTCTGCCCTGCTCCACAGCTCCATCCCACACCCAGCAACTGCCTCAGGAGATCGCCGGTGCCAGGGGAATTCTCCTTCCACTTTGGGAAACCTGGGTTGGCAAACACAGAGGACAAAGAAAGGGATTTCGGGCTTCAGCCTCATTTGTGAATTTTACGCCTTTATTTACTGTCAGGCACTTGAAAGGTGCAAGTCTGTGTGAACAAGAAAGTGGCTTATGGAACAGATCACGGATCTGGGAGATGATGCAGAAACCTCTGTGATACTGTTCCTAAAAAAAAAATCCCTGACTCGTTAACCTTGGCCAAGACACTGAGGGAGAGAGGCTATGGTTCTCTGCCCCCCCTCCCTGGGCAGGGTAAATCCCTGGAGCAGACAGGCTGCTCGGCTGCCTCAGCAGGAGCTCCAGCAGCTGGAGCCAAGCATCCTCACACACATCCAGTGCCAACGCCGTGAATGGGATCAAAGCCTCTTTTTCTTGGAATGGAGACAGAATTCCTGTGGACTCTGAGCCTAACCCCCGTGTAAGCAGTTGCTGAGAGGGGCTGCCAGGAGCTCCCTCCTCTCTCCTGTTCTGTGTTTGCCCCTGGGAAGCCAGGAATGGATTTACTCAGCTGGCTCCTGCCAGAGCAGGGTGGAAGTCAGGCACACAGCACAGGCAGGACACAAACTCTGTGCCACTCCACCCTCAACACCTGCAATTCTCCAGTATTTTGGCAAAGCTCCTGGCACCTGCCTGCCGGGCACGTTCTGAATCCACCCGTCCACCTCCTCCCTGCAAACCTCTCCTGAGGGATTTCAGCCTCTTTTGGAGCCTCCCCAGTTCATGTCCTGAGGGCTGTGGTGCCCAGCTCTGATCCCCTGGCCCCGAGCCACAGCAGGCAGGCAGGATCTGCTGTGCAGCTCTTGAAGATAAAACATTTCTTCCGTTGGTTCCCCAGCCACCAACTGCTTTTCAGTTAGAGAAACACACAGCCCACAGCTCTCGCTGGGTCCCAGTGACACCACATCCTGCCCTTCTGTCTGCTCCAGCACTCTGTAACACGCAGAGATCCCCAAATCCATCGCTCCACAACCTAAAATCACTGTGCCATTGTGCAGAAAAAACCCTGCCAGGCTGAAACTGCACCAGAGGGCAGAGAGCATATCATCAGCAAGGCAAAAACCAAGATCCAGACTGGCTCACTGACAAGTTCAATCCCCAGCCACAGGGCTATGCTTCCTATTTAACCACAAATAAAAGTTTTGGGGTTGCTCCTATTCTCCTTGTGCTCCCCAGCACTCCCAAAGTAACTGGTGGGAGGCACATTCTCCTGCACCACGAAGCTGTGACGTTATTTTAAGCAAGGGGACACTTCAACCCAGCTGTAAACTCTTTTAAAGCACATTCACAGCTGCAAATCCTATTAAAGCACAGCGGCAAAAATTGTCCTGGCACTTTAAATATAGTTTTTTTTCAAAAAGCAGAGAAAAAGCCTCGCCTGGATGTGCCAAGAGAGCTCAAAGCAAACAGCTTTAAAAAGCCTGCTCCTGTCACGACGCAGCACACCTTGTGACAGAGCAAAGCCTTCAAAAGAGCTGCAGCCCACAAGCCCCGTTTGGATCCAGAAGGCAGCGTCGGGAATGGCTCAGCCCCAAAAATCCTGTGGGAAAGAGCACCTGCACGAACACAAAAAGGAGAGGGAGAAGGGCGTTGAAAACATTCCAGCAGGAAAAGACGCGAAGTCTGAATTAAAGACGCTTTCCTCTCTGTGTTCTGCGCTTCCCTCGGCTCTCAGCTGTGAATCACAGTTTGGAAGCGGCGCTGAGAGCGGGACGCGGGCAGGGACGGGGCAGAGGCTGGTGAAGGAGGACGGGAGCGGCAGTGCAGGGCAGGGACCAGCCGGTGGCAGCAGCCGCTCGCCACAACACCCCCGCCACGGCCGGCAGCTCAGGGTGCTGCTCCAGCCTGCGTCCCAGCAGGGTCTGGCCTCTCCAGCCCGCCGTGAGACGCTCCAGACACGTTTTAAAAGCCCTTCTAACCAGGATGCCAAAGGACCGCGGCAGGATTTTGGAAATGCTGTTTGTTCCCGCGGGCGCTCCCGGCCATCCCTCCTGCCCGGTGCTGCTCCGGAGGCCGCGGTTGCGGCAGTGCTTCCCGCGGCTCCGGATCCCGGCGGGAGCGGTTCTGACAAAACCCAGAGGGGTGTTCAAAGCCCACGGGGGTGAAGCGCACCTGCTCGGGATCGGAACCCGGCTGGGCCGGGCTGCGGCTCCGGCAGGGCACGGGCACCGGGCAGCCCGGGGCCGGTTCCGCCGCTCTCCTCTGCGGTCCCGGGCGGCTCCGGGAGCGGCGGCCGGGCACGGAGGGGCCCACGGGGCGCTCCCGGCTGCCTCCAGCCGCTGCCCGGGGACACGAACCCCGCCCGAGCCCGCGCCTGGCCCGGCCCGCCCGGCTGGGCCCCTCAGGCCTCACCGTGCGGCTCCCGGGCCGAGGGCGGCGGGGATATCCCGGCTCCAGTCCCGGGGAGCTCCTGGCTCCCCACCCAGCCGGGTGCCGATCCCGGTCCCGGTGCCAGTCCCGATCCCGATCCCGGTCCCGATCCCGATCCCGA